TCAAAATGCTACTATACCCAATGGCAGAGCCTTTAGTCGACTCGAAATGTTTTCTTTTTGCTTTTTGTTATATTACATACCTCAAAACGCGCTTTTTTCGCTTTTTTGTTGCTATTTTGGTTGAATAAGGGCTTCCCTACTGATTTTCACGTCGAGAGGGACTTCGTAAATTTTCGCGAAGTCATGGGGGACTTCGTTTCCTAAAAACCTCCAAACCAACGCGTGCCGGGCCCTGATGTATGATACGTTGGTATGTAGGCATAACAAACTTTTGGCAAAATCTGTTAAACGCGTAGATGACATGTCAAAACTTTCTGACACGTGGCAGGAGGTTGACACTCTTCTTGTGAAGTAGGAGCTAGGTATGGTTCAACAAAAAAAGCAGTTTCCTTTCTTGAAGAAATGGGCCCGGATTAAGGCTCGGCACAGGTGGCTTAGTGAGTGAGCTGGATATCGTTTTTGGAACAAAAAGCAAAGGGGGGTTTATTTGCAACGTTTTTTTAGTCGACGTTTCGTTTTTTTGGAGATTTTTTAGGATTATGGTTAAAGTCAAAGGGAACTTCGTAAAATTTTGGAAAAGTCAAGGGGACTCCGTTTTTTGCATTTTCCAAAAGCCACCTCGTGCCGAGCCCTGGTCCGGATTACGAAAAGTATGTTTTGTGAAGTGTAGAGTATGGTATCATTGCAATTTCAGATAAACAATTTTGCAGTATTCATAGTTTTGTTTCAAGCTTTCCTGCGATTATTTTTAGCTTACAGATTGCTATCCTTTTTGAAAGGGCAAGAAAAGCACAGACTTGAATAAGTCATTTTTTATTTTGCACAGCTTATCTAAGCAAGTCAAGTAAGAACATTTCCAGATTTCTGCACTAAGGACATTTTCGTGTAATATCAAAATAGACACGCATAGAACATCCGTACGGATTAGATTTCACCTTGCGGGTCTTTTTCGTAGTGCAAGCAACTCAGTCCAGCTAAACTTCGAATTTCTTCAAGTGGAGAAATGCCTGAAAGTTCAGACAGATATCTGACCAGAAGGTTGATTGATAATAAGCGATATTCTATTCGAATTCCCGTCAAGCGCTCTCGAGGCCCGCTAGGCCTACATTACGCCTTTGATTTTGCTCTTTATCGCTCTCTTGATTTTAAGAGGTTCTAAGAGCCTTTGTGTAACAATGTACTTTGTCACGCTTATCCTAAATTCATTCGCTTTGCGTGGTTATTTCTTTACCTTGATTTTTGGTTTTTTTTCTTGTTCCGTAGGTGCAGCGCAAGCATTCCTGGCAAGATTAGAAATTTGAAAAAAGTCACTTTTTATCGCCCAATGATGATATGGAAAACTGCGCAAAAACAAACACTTTTAATCAAGCATTTTTTATTTCTTGGTTTTTCCAACAAATTTATTCAGCACCTTTGTTCTTCCGTTGCTTACATGAATTTCGTGGATGATTTCTTTTTTGTTGGTATCAAGAACTTTTCTAGTTTTTTCAGCCCTGTGAAATAAATTATGACAACAAAATGCTGTAACAAACTTTTTGACTAGGAATATTGGTGAATATGATAGAACACCTGTCAAAATTTACAAATAATATCATTTTGTATCATTATTATTATTTGTAATATATCATTTTGCTAATCTACTTCGTAAACAATGGCTCCGCATTCCAAAAAAGTACTGAAGTTGACCAATGTCTATCAGTATTTTTTTGTCATTTTTGAAGGAATAGCTTTAGAAGAAATTTTGCGTAGGCGTCTTTGGGCGTCTTCGCACACAATGAATCTTTCTCACTTTTTTCCTTATAATTATGCGCGATAGTCATTTCCTCCAAGTCTGCGCTTTGCAAATGAGTTTGAATCCTAGGCAAAGATAATACTAAGAACTCATTGATTGAGTCTGGTAAACTTACTCTATGCCTATCAATCTGAAATGAACACTACTTTTGAGAATTTTTGTATCTCCACATTCATGAAAATCACGAAAATGAATGAAAATAAGAACCAGAAAAATTTACTTCAAATTTTTTGCTGCCGTATTGAAAGTTAGCTAATCGTGAATAATCTTTTTTTTCTTCAATGAAAAATTCGAAAGGTTTGTCCACAGTCTGTTGTTGTGAATATTTAGATTTCTCAGTTTTTTATAATTTTCAGGGCAGATTCTCCAATATATTCTTAATTTTTTCTAACAATTATAAGAGAAATTCCTTGATGGCACTGCATTCAGCGCATATATTCGCTTGTGAAATGATGCGATAACTTTCTTAGTTTTTTCTCCTGGTCATGTTAAGTAGGCACACTGATTATCTCTCACTATGCAAATGTTATGTGTCATTTTCTCGCTTTACTGAATTCTTCACATAAAGCGCCACCCTCCTCTTCATTGTCTACACTCATTTCCTTTCATCTCGAAGCCTTTACTACTTTTTTTCTGCTATCAACGTGATCTCATCAATTGCTTCTCGAGAAATGTTAGCGGTTTTTTTCGTCATTCGCAAACTCGGCAATAACACATGCAATTTATTTTATGGCGTTCTTTTGCTGTAAATGTGTTGATTCATCGCTGTGGAGCTAGAAAACATCATGTAATGAGCTATTTGTTTCCTTTATTTATTCTAAACGTCCTAAAACGGTTTTTTAAATGTAAGCGGAGAACATTAAAGACATGACATCATTTCCTATAAAAACAATCAATTTGAAAGCCGGTCTATGATATCAACTTAAGCACTAAAATTCTCTCAGGCCAAGAAAGAACTGCAAAATAATATAAAACAATCAATAAAGATTTTTCGAAGCGTTAAAAAAGGTTAGCCATCAATAAAATTCCAAAATCCTGAATCTTGGCTGCGCTCGAACAGAAAACGATGACACATCGATAAAGAGCTAAAATCTTTATGAATACGCAATTTTTAAGCTGTAAAATTAATTAGGAAATTAGAGCAGTCTAGAGCTAGATTTTGGAAAGGTAGTGAATTCTTCAACTTTCGTACGAACTTTCTTGGTTAGGCTAAAGATTCCATATACCCCCTTTGGTTCAAATGGCTTGGCTGCTGGAAGGCGGGGCTTCGTTTACAGCTAGGTAATGACCAGGGAGCACGCGCGCGGGAGAGACGCAGACTGCGTTGCGGGCGCGAGTTGCCTTAATTAGGTCACAAAGCCCCGCCTTTCAGCAGCCAAGCCAGTTGGATCAAAGGTTATTTCAACTTTCATATCATAATGCATATCATACTGTAGTATAGAAAAAATATCTTGTATCACCTACACGATAATCCGGGGTGTACGGGTTTTTAGTAATTCTTCACTGTCCCTACCTTTGTTTTATTCGGATGAATAGAAATACGATGTGTTCCGCGCATTCATCCACACTTCCGGCTTCTTTGCCGTTGTTGCCATACTTCCTAGCGCGATGTCTTTTGATAGTACAAAGATAAGTACACGGGCTAAGGCTTACTGGAATGTTAGAGAAGATGTTTACAATTACTTCATTGCCCATTTTTTTGTTTTGAAAAGAGCTTAATATATGGTCAAGTAGCCATCCGCTGTTGATGATTATTTGCCTCCCCCGCATAGTTTTCATCTTCATTCTTTTTACCCTTGCATAAAGCTTGAACGTCGGAACATTAGGCGCTTGACTTGCTGCTTAACAATTTCTCTTTTTAGGCTTCTTCTATTTTCCGGCGGATGAATCATACACTTACTGAATATAGGCTTTGTAACTTTTGTAGGCGATTCATTGCGCATTGTAGCATCTTCTCGTCATGTTTTTTTCCCGACTTTTAGAATTCTACCTTTTGCTTCTTACTTGAAATTGGAATTTTTAGATATAATTGAAAGCAAGGTTTGTATGAAGTCTACCAAAGTAGGATTGTGATAAGTAATTCATTAGCGTAACATACCTATACTATGGACAACGGGAAATGATCAGAAGGCAAATTATACCTGTCGGATTTTAAAATGCACTGCTGCCGACTGATCGAAGAAATCTGCACTGTAAACTTTACCATCTTATAACTTGTATTTTTACCTTGTTCACTGCCAAAAATTACACAAATGCGTTTTGCACGTTCGACGGCGAACTCCATTTTAAAAAATCTAGCTTCACAGGAATAATTGATAGGTAATGTTGTGTCTTAGTATTGTTGAGCGCTTAGAGTGTATAACGTTCAAAGTAGTCTTAGTTACATTTAGAGCAACCCCTACGGATACATCTCTGCAAATTACTGAAATTTTTCTGGATTTTTGCTCTCGTGTCGGTAGCAATTTCTCTAGCGTAAAGTTTGCCGCATAAACGTCTTTCTTTTGCTCGCCAGTACCAGAATGGCATTTAGTCAATATTGCTTTGGAAAGTTTTCTGTCGTGGTGACTTACACATCTTTAATTGTAAGATTTTGACCAGTAATTCTACAAATTTCTATACGTAAAAGTCGTCGACCTGAAGTACCTCCTTTTTTATCTGCTCGGGATCAAGAAAGAAGGTGATGCTTCAGACGCACTGATCTTCCTTTGACTTTGTAAGGAAAAGTCACCTAAAGTGTATCACTGCTGTTGAGAGTTTATGCTGAATAGCGCATGGTCCATTTTGGAAAGTTGTGGCTAGCAGATCACAAAGAGTCTCCAACTTCAATATGCAAATTCGGGCATTGGTATAACCCGTACCGTAAACAACTAACCACATTGCCATCTTCTGCATCCTACGTTCTTACGACACTTTCTTAAGAAAGCTTTTGTGCTGTAGCTGTTTGTAGATGTTTATAGCACAATAGTAAATCTTCCACAATGTACGCGGGTACCCTAAGAAATACCAATAAATCATTAGGAACACTTGAGAGAAATTGCCGAGACCAAGCGCTGCGTAACAGTTGCACATCGGGCTTTCGTGCGTTTTTTTTTTCGCTAACGTGATGAGCGCGGCAAATCCGCTGGTAAAAACCTACGAACGTGTGTTCAGTGTTTTTCTCGATCACCCCACTCCTGTCAACACTAATGCATCCGTTTTTTTCTTACAGGCGCACAAGCATGGCGGGGCCCATAGGCCTCGCTGCACCGCCTGAACCAGACACCTCCTCTCCGGTGACGGTACCGTTTCGCAACACTCAGCTGTTTCAGTTGGTCATGCAGGTAATTTTGCTTGTATTTTATTTTTATATTTCACTGTGATTCGTTGTACATATTGAGTAAAGTTGATGGAAATATTGTGCCACTGCGGTGCAAGCAACACTTGCGCGGAGACAGATCCATGCTTGTGATGCTGACAGCTTGCGCGACAAAAACAACAAATCGGGAAAAAATTAATTCCAAGGTCCCATAGCCATTTCTTGCGCTTAAGTGTTGTAATAACCGCAAAGGCACCATATCAAATGTCCCTATGGACTGTAAGTTGTTCTCCTTATACAGTATAGTTTATAGGTAATTTTTATGGCACTTAGTATCAAATCCATAATTTTTATACAAAAAACTCGCGTATTCATTTTCCTTGATTACTTTATTCAGGATTTATTTTGACATCCATTTACGTCCTCTTTTCCTTCGATTGCTCATTCAATCTGCGTTTAGTGACATAATTTTGCTTTTCTGGACTATAAATCGGTGATGATCTTCCATAGCCAGATTTGGAGTAAGAATATATTTTTTGCGATGTATAAGTCATACTTAATCCTCTAATCCTGATGACCAACACTCTTACCACAGTGAAAGCTTCTGTGTTCCTCACCTTTTAATATTCATTTTTTCTTCTAATTCTTGTCTTGGATGTACCTTGTGAGGATTTTCAAGGGCAAGCTTCAACCTACTAATTACCGTTAATGACTATAAAGGGATAAGATGGCAGCAAATGAATCGCGTAGTAATAATCGCTTACGGCCGAGTTGTCTCAAAAGCATTTGGTCCTATACACTTTCTTTGTTTGCGTTCTTGCACTTTTTGAATATGCACGTTTGTCGCTGAAAATTTATCGAATAAGATTGTGACGAGGAAAGCTATGGGAAATGTCTGTGTATTTTTCAACTATTGATTATCGCAGAGGTTTTATTTATCCCAGTACAAGTTATAGCTGCCTCAAATAAGCACGGAGATCGAGGAGATAGCGTGGAAGAAAACGGCTAGTGTTCTTTTAGAAATTTTCCACAAATTTTTCTTATTTTGAGCTAATAAACTAATCCCTACAATCCTGTATAAGAACAGAAGCTTTTGAATACTAAAGCATTTTTTCTTCTTCGTTCACAGATTCAGTCTCCTAAAATATTGTCATTTTTCATATCTACTATCCATAAAAACTGTTCAGTTCAGTAAGATTTACTTCCGATCGTTCAATTTTGTTTATTTTGCTATGAATTATTATGGCTTTTTTGGAGTATATTCCGCCAAGTTTCGGTTTGGAAGCACTTTCTGCTTTGGCCTCCTTCGAATGATATATTCCCCTTCAACTGCTTCAAAGCTTTGCATCCATCTTGAGTACTTGCGACTTGCATTCGGCCAGGATGCAATCTCTTCCCCCAAGTATCTGCATCTCCGATGTTTATAATCGCATCAACGCATTTGAATGTTTAGCATCATCAGTCTCATGTTTCTTTCGAGAAAAGTCTCCTAGCATTTTCTTTAATTTGCACCTTACCTTGAAATACTTATTTATTTATTTATTTATTTTAATGCACTCATGCTGCTCCTAACAAAAAAACTAACAAAGAATATAGAACAAACTTGCAAAACCAACCAACCACTCAAGATAGCTACATGAGATAGGATCATAAGTATAAACAAGCTGAAGAGCCCTAGACCTAAGACGTGCACACGTTAAAGGGAAGAATTATAAGGGAGGATTAAAAGGAAGAAAAAGAAAAATGATTGTAAGATATTTCCTTTGACGTTCTGCTGTTCTAGGTACCTTCGCATTCTATCTTGTTTAACGTCAATTTTTATATAGGTAAATTTGGACTTCTGAAGAATTGTGTGTAGGTTGGCCCATAACCCTTGCAGCACGAAATAATGAGAATTTGTTTTGAAAATCTAAACATTTTACGTTATACTGCATACTTTTTATTATGTATGATTTGTTTATTTTGTTGTATTTAGTGAACAGTCACTGAAAGCAAAATCAAGTTGAATGAAATACTCGAAAGTTATAAGTTGCAGAGACATTAATCATCACATATTTCCTAGTTGCAATAATCGAAAAGTTGTAAGAAATACCAAAAATAACTTCATACATTATTGGACCTTTTAGCAGTTTTAGCAGCAAAATAAAAAAAAACGCAATCTGAGCTGTTCTTTTTACCTGCTTGAGCGATATGTAGATCATGATTTGCGCTGGGTACTTTTAAAAAACGTAAAATCTCTCTTTCTTCGAATCATTTAGGACGAATTTGCTGAAAATGGAAGCGATTGCGATATTCAGAAACTTGGTGCGAGAATTCGATGATATAGCGAAGTCAAGCACAGCATATAATTCACCTTATGCAAACAACCTCTTTTCCAAGTGAAAACATTCGCTGATTTAGCGTAAAATCTCTGGTTAAACCATCTAAATGATTCTGCTCTAGAGGCGGAAGTAAATCAAGTCTGTTTCCCGTTGAGAAAACTCTTTTAACAGCTGTCTTCTTTATCTCTGCGTATCTCAGAGGAGATTTTTTTCTTTTTCGCCCCTCTACTTGATTTATTACCAATGCAAAGCAAGCTCATCACTTGCAGCTTTAGAATAACAGTATTCCTGAGGCAGCCAGACAGCTTCAGCAGTCTATCTAATGATTATGGTAATCCATCATTTTTATAGGTGTTATCACCAACGGCTGAGAATACGACCAGTACGCCCGCCTTCGCGGCTGGGAACGTCTCCGAAATCCCATATGGGAACGAATCGCGCATCGCTGCGATCGTCACCATTGGTGCGGTGTTCGCCTTCGTGACGTTTACGGGAAATCTTATGGTGAGTAAGATTTTGCAAATTACATTTTTTATTCTTTTGATTTTTTTGATACAAATAGTACTATGAGAATTTCAGGTCATGGTCAGCTTTAAGATAGATAAACAACTGCAGACAATTAGTAATTACTTTTTATTCAGTCTGGCTGTGGCTGATATTGCTATAGGTAAACATTTTTTTATTTTTTGTGGGTCCTACATGGAATAAAAGTTTCTTTTTCAGGAATGATTTCAATACCTCTATGGACATATTACACAGTAAAGCAATCGTGGGGCATGGGCTACACGATGTGCCAACTTTGGCTGTGCATCGACTACCTCATGTCTAATGCGTCCGTGCTCAACTTGTTGTTGATCTCATTCGATCGATATTTCTCCGTGACGCGGCCGCTCACCTATCGACCAAGGTATGCATGCGTGCACGCGCGTACGTGCGAGCGTGCGGGACAGTGTTTCGTGTGTGTTTACGTCTTTGACCGATGAGGGTATTGTAACAAGCTGTCAACATTTTTTGTGTTTTTTATAGGAGAACGAAGAGGAAAGCTTTGATAATGATTGCATGTGCCTACATTATCTCTGCGATTTTGTGGCCGCCATGGATTATTAGCTGGCCGTTCATCGAAGGTGATTTTTGCAATTTCCTTGGAACAAAATATGTGTTCTCAAAAGTTTATAATTGCTACTAGAATTGTTTTTTTTTTCAGGGAAGTACACTGTCAGAGATGATGAATGTGTTGTACAATTTCTACAGACAAACCCGTACGTGACAGTTGGTACGGCTGTGGCCGCATTCTACCTCCCCGTGACAATCATGATTATTTTATACTCACGAGTTTACTGGGAAACACGTAAACGACGAAAACAGTTCGGGAAACTACAAGCATCCCAGGTAAGAAATTTCTGGGGGCCTAAGCTTGACATTTCTACGCGCTTGTAGTTAGTCTCTGCGGTTGTTTAGCGCTCAAGTCATTCGAACGATTCATTTCGTACGCATAATTCTGTGAAAACCAGAAAGAAGGTAAAATATCGTAGTGAAATATCCAAGATTTCAATTTTTCGCCATTCCTTCTAGATTGCATGTGTCGTGTTCAGCTTCCCAATTTTTTAAGGCTCATGTTCATTCTAGATAGCCAAAATTTCAATAAAGCGGAAATAAATAAGTTGTTCTAGTTCCCGAGGCGGTCGCTAATTCATCGTGACCCATCCACGAACTCATTTGTGAAACCAAATTTGCGGAGCTCATTAAGAAAAACCGCTTGGACCAATGATCCCAAGAGGTTCGAACTTTTTTTTGAACCATTTTGTACATATAAGTTTGAATTGCTGAATCTGTTTACTACATTCCCTCCTTTGTTCAGCGGTAGAAAAAGTCGATTATCATGGCTAAAGTTATGCACTGCAAAATCGCATTCGTCTTCGGAGGATAGCTCTGAGGCAAGTTGAGCTTTGCACTTTACCGTAAACTCATGTCATCTTTTTAGGCCCAGGTTGTTAACATCGATGACACGTCCCTTTCTTCGTCGCTCTATGCTGGAAAGAAGAAAAATCCTAGCCCTCCACTTACCCCTATACCTGCCAATGATGTCAGTACAGTATGCTCGGGATCACAATTTTCAAAAAACTTGGAGTAGAGGATTTAAATAAAAATTTTCAGGAAACCATATCTGGTGAGACACAAACGGAAAATAGTCCACGAAGCGGTTCAATGCGAGCACGATCACAAACCACAGACAGACCTACATGTGATACTTATACGGTAGGTTGACGCGCGCGTCCCCATTGGTCAGAGCGATTACCGTAATCGTGTTTTAGGTATTGATCGAGTTGAAAGAAGAAGGTGCTCGACCTAGTGTGCGACTAAGCAACTGTGATAAGTGCGTTGTATAATTTCTGTCAATCCCTCCTCCTCCCCCTCCCCCCCCCCCCCCAGGATATTTTCGGAAGCTTTCCATTGTTGCAGTGATCTGATGCGCCGAGAATCGTCGCGCAAGTCTCGGAGTGATTGTCGAGTGGACCACGCTGGTGATGTTGATCGACAACCAAGTGTAAAAGGTGCGATGCTCAGTACTAAAATTATCAAAAGTTAGTGATTTTTCTTTAGAAGCTGCGTCTCCGGCCAAGAACGGTCGCTTTACGAGAATTGGCAACGCAATTAGTGCAAATGACCGGAAGAGCGAAAAAGAGCGAAAGAAAAATGAGCGAAAGCAAGAAGGCAAAGCTGCCAAGACACTATCGGCAATTCTTGCCGCTTTTATCGTGACTTGGACGCCATACAATGGTAATAACACGGCTGCCCGATAATTTTGAATTTTTAGATAATTTTTGCATTTCAGTGATTGTCTGCTATGAGGCATTCTTTCCTCATACATTACCAGAGTACTTATTTACGGGCAGTTATTTTCTCTGCTATATCAATTCAACAATCAATCCGCTCTGCTACGCCCTTTGTAATGCAAGGTAAGCCCTCAATTCTTTTCTCTTTTTTTGCTATTTTAAAATCTGGGAGCCGATGTAATCATTTTCCCAAAAACTATACCGCTCTTGCTGTCTGTACTGCTTTAAATGATTAAATGTAAAAGGTATAATATAAATTTAGTCATGAAAGTGTAAAAGATGTCAGTACCAGCAGACGCAGCAGTCAGGGAATTCGTTCACAAGTTCACTGATGAAATATTTGATTTTTATGTTTTTGTTCCTTTGGGATTAAACAGTGGCCAGAAATTGTAAAGGTCTACTTTGTTCCCAAACAATGGACGTTTGTTCAAGTTTGTGCCAAAAATTTGACACTTCTCGCTTATAATTGATTATGGTACGAACAAAATTTTCACAATTTTCAGGTTCCGACACACGTATCGACGAATACTCAGGTGTAAATTCGGTGCGGAACGTCCAAATATTTCAAGAAATGCGTATGTTCGACGGCAATGAAAGACAACGTTCCCACTCCGAGCAATACACTTTCTTTCCGGTGCTAGCTGCTCAATCTGCATTTTTTCTAACGGGTTCTCAACAGTCAGTATTGCAACGATCTTTATGTGCATAATAGAGGAGAATCACATGTATATTTATTAAATCTTCATTTTTGCATTTTCTCAGCAAACTACGCATTTATAAATTGTATGAAATTTATGGATTATTGTATGGAAACGGTACAAATACCTGTGTACATCAGAAGAGCGGCTCAAATGTGCTTCTTCCCTGAGCAGTGGAAGCACATCAATAGCACCAATTACTCATAGAATCTTTCATCAAACATATATATTTGATCTTTTTGTTGTTTTCTTTGTTTTCCTCTTTGTAACAGAGTTTTTTTTGTCAAAAAGAATAAAGCCTAAAGCAAATGATGTGAACATGGTCACTTATGGCAAAAATCTACAGAGAATATTCAAATAAAATGAATTAACTGATCTACTACACGTTATAGTTCGTTTAAATAAAAGCACAGCTTTTCAAGTAGGTAAGTATTCAGAATAATTAGCACTCATACAGTATGACAGTCACAGTGGTCTTCTTCCATAAACTTCATCCGAGCTTCTCGATCTGCAGCGCTGAATTCTCGCCTTTCTACCTTCCTATACTCCCTGGTTGTGGAGATCGTATTGGGTGAATCGTTGTGATAATACATTATCGAAGCTTCCTTGGTTTGGTTGGGATTATCTAGAAAACTTACCGTCAAAAAAAAGCTTTTTTTTCACAGTGTCTGAACTTTTATTGATTTTATGAGACACGATTTCAAAATGAAAATTAATTCTAGCCGAGCTAATGATAAGCTAATCAAGATTGCTCTATCTCGCGCAAAACTTCAACTGTTTTTTTCTCCTTATGATCACAAGGAGCGTGTTAATGCTCTTGATTGCGGCAAATGTGCATACTCTCCACGCTTGACGCACTCTCTCGTGGATGTCTGACCTCAGCAAACGCGCGCGCTCCGCATCAGTTTGCCGTTTGCAGTCAGTGTGAATGCACTCTACAAGCTAAAACTCAGAGTTACATCAAAAATGCTATTTGAACTGCTACACAAGTCCAGTCATAGTTCCTCTATAGTTCTTACCATATTACAAGTATGGGTATACTATAGTTATGACAATTTTTTCTAGAGTCTAATCTGGGAAAATGCTCCAATTTTCATGATGAAAATAATTTTCATTGCTCACCGCAAAATCGTCGCAGTCCACATGCTAGCATTATGCAAAAACAGAACATGATTGCTGAGAAGCACAGCAACAATGCGGTTTTGATCCAAACCGGAATATAAGAGATAAATTCACTTAGCGGCATGTCGCACTCGAAATTTCCTGTAACATAAAATCGGTTCACATGACTGTGGACATCGTATATGCGCATTTACCTTCTTCAGTAAAACCACACGTCTTCAAACGCGGCTCCATTATCTCATTTTCTATCTGGGTCATAGGGACTAGAGTCCATCTAGGATCAACTTGACTTTCTTTGAGTGGATAGTTGAGGTAACCGCCATGGACTTGGCCATCACCTAACCTATATAACAGGATATACAGTTGCAGCGGTGGAATTTGTCCAAAACTGCGGGATTGTCGGGATTCGCGGGATTGTCGGGATTCGCGGGATTCGCGGGATTCGCGACTTCGCGGGATTTGCGGGATTCGCGAGATTTGCGGGATAAGCGGGATTTAGCCATAACTTCATTTAAAATAGCTTTATTTGTAATCTGAGTGAAGATTTGGCTTCAGCTTGATGAGACGAATCTTTTGATATACTTTATGTCCGTAGTTCATAATGACGGGGTAGAAATACAATGATACCTTGTTGTTTTCTACGTTAAGGCTTTTGTGAACATTTATCACAGTGTAAATCGCGTATAGGAGGTTCTGGTACGAAGTTCTCGTTATCGAAAACTATCGCGAAAAATTGGGCAGTTTTTATCTACACTTATCGCTGATATAAGCATTTTATCATTTATCACTGATAACAACACATTTTTGGATCATTTTTTGCATATGGTAAGGAAAGTACTGTAGGAAAAGCTGTGTGAATTTCTATCGCTCTTTCTCTCATTATAAGTGATCTACAGGCTTTTCTAGTTCTATTGCTCGGTGCAATTGGTAGATCCCTCGCTGCAGCAATCGATCGATTTTTCATCGGCACATGCCATTGCTGCCAATTCTTACCTAGAATGGCATTTTTGCTTCAACTCGCTTCACGTCGAAGCCTGGGCTGAAATTCTGTACCTATATGGAAGATTAACGTGGAAATCGACCGCATAAATTTAAGCCATTCTTATCTGTCGTTGTTATTGATATCATCATTTTATCATTTATCACTGACGACACAAAATTGGATCATTTTTGATATACAATGAGAAATGTACTTTAGAAAACGCTGTGTGAGTTTTTATCGCTCTATCTCTTATAGTACAAAACCACTCACAGAACATGCAAAATTTCCGGGAATTCCGCGAAATTCATTTGAATCACGCAAATTACGCAGGGCCATAACTTTTTTCCGAATGAGTATATTCAAAATCCGAAAACAACGTTGTATTCAGCTCGTCAAGGCAAATCTTTTGATGCGCGATTGTCTCCAATATCTTGTTTTCAATAATCTTGAATTTGCATGCCGACGCCTCTTCGCATGGGTGTAACGCAACAAGCATCACACATAGGAGACTGCCATGGGCACCCTTCGATAGTACTCTTTCACTAGATTATCGTGCGCTAAACAGCAGCCGAAGACCCCCTTTCAAAAGAGATAGAAGAGCTGATAAACTCTGGAAAAATTAAGCTGTTCCAAGTTTTACTAGCCGTAACTTTCTTTAGAATGAACATTTTCGAAATCAGAAAGCAGATTTGCGTTCATCTTGTCAAGTCGAATCTTGCTGTATGCAGCATGTTCTTGAAGTTCCGTTTTCAATTTTTTCAAAATTTTTTGCGCGCGTATATTCACAAGGTCGCAACGCAGCGCACATCAAACATAAAAGACTCTATTGGATTGTGTTGCTTCCGCAGATTATCGAGTGCTAAGAAGCAACCGGAGAATCTTTTTGAGAAAAGATAGAAGAGCTGGTGAATTCTGGAAAATCGTGTTGTCTCAAATTTTGCCCACAGTGACCCTAAATTGAGAAGCTCTACTGCTAAGCAGATGTGATTTTCGTAATCAGCAGGTCAGATAACCTGGGTCTTTTTATAGAGATATTGTAAGGTGACTGTAACTGAGTCACGAAAGTTCGTAAATTTGCCTGCACTTTTCGCGAATTTGTCAGAAAACTAGCCTGCTTGCTTTTTCAAGTTAAAATCACTGGGAACTGTGCTATCAAAAGGTGCAGGCTCAGGCTCCAGTCTATAAAGTTCGCCGAGTTACGAGCCTACGAAAAGACGTCCTCATAATTTTCGCTCAAAATGTAAAAATCGCGTATTTCGTCGAAATTCCGCCCTCAGTGGTTGTATGCAGAGGTGCGATAGGGGGAGCCGGGTCCCCCAAAAGTGAAGGTGGTCCCTGCTACCACTGGCTGCCAAAAGTGAAGGTGGTAGTGCCGGACACTCACCTCCCAAAAACGTCGAGGGGGGGGGGGGAAGGTGCGGGGGGAGGATAGAACGGACGAACGGAGCTATCTTTCTAGGTCTAACGTCGACCCAACGGCCCTCTTTAGGGCCACAGATACGATGAATATAAAAAATATCTATAAATTTTATTTATAAAAATTTAAAATAGACGTGTTTAGTAAATGGTGTATTTGGAAGTAAAGCTTAGCAAAACTGTACGGATTTTATTAAGCAAATTATGTTATAACGTATAGCGAAGGAAGTAGGTCGATCCAGGCAGTAACGGCGGAGAACCAGAATTTTGAATATTTAAATAGTGAAAAATCATGCGAAATTTCCACTGTTATAAATCTGTTGTTTGAAGATGTCAGCAGTTGCGACTTTATAGGTTTTGAAGAGTAGATGTTGCTCTATCAGCTAGTGAAGGAATCGGGTCGATTTAAGAGATAGTCGTTGAAAACCAGAGTTCTAAAACTTTACGCCATTTTTGCGTGTTTTTTGACTGTTGAGAGTTAAACTCTTATAAATCTTGAATGTGGAAGTGTATGATGTTGCGACTTCATAGGTTTTATAGAGTAAGGTTTGCCTTATCAGAATATGTCTTGTACGTTCCGATCCATTGAAAGACCTCCGAGATCCAGAGTCATGAAAAAGCAGGTAAAAAAGAGCTTTTTGAACTTCAACAGCTCATAACTTCTTCAGAACTGCACGAATCATGTTGCGACTTCATAGGTTAGATTCCTCTCATCAAGGGCTTTCAGATGATATATAATATGTGGGGGTTTAGAGCCTCCTGCGAATTATGACCGGGGGGGGGGGGGAGACTTTTTAGGCCAAAGTCTCCCCCTCGCCCATTTTAATGTATTGGCTGGAGGCTGCCGGGGGAGACTTTGGCCTAAAAAGTCTCCCCCCCCCCCCGGTCATAATTCGCAGGAGGCTCTAAACCCCCACATATTATATATCATCTGAAAGCCCTTGATGAGAGGAATCTAACCTATGAAGTCGCAACATCATACACTTCCACATTCAAGATTTATAAGAGTTGAACTCTCAACAGTCAAAAAACACGCAAAAATGGCGTAAAGTTTTAGAACTCTGGTTTTCAACGACTATCTCTTAAATCGACCCGATTCCTTCACTAGCTGATAGAGCAACATCTACTCTTCAAAACCTATGAAGTCGCAACTGCTGACATCTTCAAACAACAGATTTATAACAGTGGAAATTTCGCATGATTTTTCACTATTTAAATATTCAAAATTCTGGTTCTCCGCCGTTACTGCCTGGATCGACCTACTTCCTTCGCTATACGTTATAACATAATTTGCTTAATAAAATCCGTACAGTTTTGCTAAGCTTTGCTTCCAAATACACCATTTACTAAAAACCTTTATTTTAAATATATATGCCGCCGTATCCATAAATATATGCTTTCAATAATCTTTTTTGCGTTTGTTTTGCTTATTTTCCTTCTTTGTCGTCCAGCGAAAAATTTTTTATTCCAAAAGTGAAGGTGGTCACCCCGTACCAGCTCAAAAGTGAAGGTAGGGGGAGACTTGGCTCCCCCTATCGCACCTCTGGTTGTATGACATACTGATCTAATCTGTTCATTGGTTAATGGTCTTAATGTGCTGGATTTGGAAATTAGGTAAGTACTCTGCGTTGATACCACTGCTTTTGTGTCGAGACGCATACTAATTAGAGTTCGACAGTCCCCTCGCCGACTGGGCGGTGCCACCAACTTCAGATGAGCTGGCACTCCCCGGGTGCTCGGTGGTCCCCTCCCCAATTATGTTCCCTCATATTTATATTTATGTTATAACGATAAAATAATCTAGTCAGAACTGTTATGTTATTACAAAGGAAAGAAACTAAAGGTAGAGGGATCAAGTTAAGAGAATAGCTAACTCTTCAGACTTGACACCTGGATATTCAAATGAGCAGCTGAAGAACGCGCGATCACCATATTCAACTCAATGGAATCCCTTAGGCGAAGTGAGCATATGCAATCAGAATGTCATACAACCAATGAGGGCGGAATTTCGACGAAATACGCGATTTTTACTGAGCGAAAATTATGAGGACGTCTTTTCGTAGGCTCGTAACTCGGCGAACTTTATAGACTGGAGACTGAGCATGCACCTTTTGATAGCACAGTTCCCAGTGATTTTAACTTGAAAAAGCAAGCAGGCTAGTTTTCTGACAAATTCGCGAAAAGTGCAGGCAAATTTACGAACTTTCGTGACTCAGTTACAGTCACCTTACAATATCTCTATAAAAAGACCCTGTCTTCTTCAAAGACCACTATTTTCGTAAACAGCGTGTTCGAAAACCTCTTTGGGCGAAGTTTCTTTACAATCCAAGGTCATCGACATTTTGACCAAAACCCATCGGCGAGCTTCAGGGCGTAGAACGAGAAAAAATCGAATCACCCAAATTTCTTTGAAAACTTGCTCATAGAGGTTATCTGACCTGCTGATTACGAAAATCACATCTGCTTAGCAGTAGAGCTTCTCAATTTAGGGTCACTGTGGGCAAAATTTGAGACAACACGATTTTCCAGAATTCACCAGCTCTTCTATCTTTTCTCAAAAAGATTCTCCGGTTGCTTCTTAGCACTCGATAATCTGCGGAAGCAACACAATCCAATAGAGTCTTTTATGTTTGATGTGCGCTGCGTTGCGACCTTGTGAATATACGCGCGCAAAAAATTTTGAAAAAATTGAAAACGGAACTTCAAGAACATGCTGCATACAGCAAGATTCGACTTGACAAGATGAACACAAATCTGCTTTCTGATTTCGAAAATGTTCATTCTAAAGAAAGTTACGGCTAGTAAAACTTGGAACAGCTTAATTTTTCCAGAGTTTATCAGCTCTTCTATCTCTTTTGAAAGGGGGTCTTCGGCTGCTGTTTAGCGCACGATAATCTAGTGAAAGAGTACTATCGAAGGGTGCCCATGGCAGTCTCCTATGTGTGATGCTTGTTGCGTTACACCCATGCGAAGAGGCGTCGGCATGCAAATTCAAGATTATTGAAAACAAGATATTGGAGACAATCGCGCATCAAAAGATTTGCCTTGACGAGCTGAATACAACGTTGTTTTCGGATTTTGAATATACTCATTCGGAAAAAAGTTATGGCCCTGCGTAATTTGCGTGATTCAAATGAATTTCGCGGAATTCCCGGAAATTTTGCATGTTCTGTGAGTGGTTTTGTACTATAAGAGATAGAGCGATAAAAACTCACACAGCGTTTTCTAAAGTACATTTCTCATTGTATATCAAAAATGATCCAATTTTGTGTCGTCAGTGATAAATGATAAAATGATGATATCAATAACAACGACAGATAAGAATGGCTTAAATTTATGCGGTCGATTTCCACGTTAATCTTCCATATAGGTACAGAATTTCAGCCCAGGCTTCGACGTGAAGCGAGTTGAAGCAAAAATGCCATTCTAGGTAAGAATTGGCAGCAATGGCATGTGCTGATGAAAAATCGATCGATTGCTGCAGCGAGGGATCTACCAATTGCACCGAGCAATAGAACTAGAAAAGCCTGTAGATCACTTACAATGAGAGAAAGAGCGATAGAAATTCACACAGCTTTTCCTACAGTACTTTCCTTACCATATGCAAAAAATGATCCAAAAATGTGTTGTTATCAGTGATAAATGATAAAATGCTTATATCAGCGATAAGTGTAGATAAAAACTGCCCAATTTTTCGCGATAGTTTTCGATAACGAGAACTTCGTACCAGAACCTCCTATACGCGATTTACACTGTGATAAATGTTCACAAAAGCCTTAACGTAGAAAACAACAAGGTATCATTGTATTTCTACCCCGTCATTATGAACTACGGACATAAAGTATATCAAAAGATTCGTCTCATCAAGCTGAAGCCAAATCTTCACTCAGATTACAAATAAAGCTATTTTAAATGAAGTTATGGCTAAATCCCGCTTATCCCGCAAATCTCGCGAATCCCGCAAATCCCGCGAAGTCGCGAATCCCGCGAATCCCGCGAATCCCGACAATCCCGCGAATCCCGACAATCCCGCAGTTTTGAACAAATTCCACCGCTGCAACTGTACGGATTGAGAGAAAAGTGAAAAGTAATAAATCAATAGATTGTACCCACCGGAAATCGATATTTTGGTGGACTTGCTCTGGTGTCAAAGAAGCAGTGATATAGTAAGGAGTGTTATCGTAATCCGATGTAGGTTTATCCGCCAATTTCGTAATATCTATCGAAGAGTAATCTGACTGCCGGCTATCCACCACGACTAAGTAGCGCCTAAATTCTTACTCACACGATAGAAAGAGAGAAAAGAAATTTTTTGAGAAGGAAGCTCACCATACTGTAGGTGATAATTGTGCATTAGCACTAGAAATGTCTACTTCACGCATAAATTCACGATTGCCGATATTGTCCACGAAAAAGTTCGGTGGATTAATGGAACAGACTCTTTCGAGAAGATTCCATGGCCTGGAACATCGAACCTTGACATGAAAAAGTAAGAACTGCTACCACACCTTCTCGGAATTGTCGTCCACTTATTCCATTGTCCATCTACCTTTGCTCGTACCTATAGAAGGTCAATTCAGCACATATCCCATTTTACCTTAAGGTAATTTGGCAAACAAGATGCCGAATTGAGCCATGGCTTTTGGAAAAAAAGTTCTTTATCTGTTTCTGCTTCTTGTTAGATTTCCTTCTTTGTAGAAAAACAAGTCTCACCTCAAAATTATATTCCCGTGATCTCCTTGGTAGATTAAACACAAGTGCGCACAGCCATTCACAGCCAAATTTAGGGCATCTTAAACCTCAAAAAGCTTTTAATACATGTACTTAATCACAGCATGCTAATAGCTCATCAAATTCGAAAGGGGAAAATGAGTTCCGAATGTAGGGACTCCGTTAGGAATGATGAAATTTCGCAAACATTTTATAGTTTGCAAATGTGAAAATTTTTTCTTTGCTTCCATGTCGTTGTCAAAAGAGTTTAGCATGTCACGTCAATTGGACAGCGTCGCCAGCAATTTGTCATTACTAAGCCACTCACAGAAGCTCGTCTTCCACATATTCTTTTGTTTCTAGGGGCACTCCATCGTGAGGGGTGTAGCGAATCTAAAAAACCATATATGCTATAAGCAAATTATAGACGAGATTCCATGGTTAGTACTTGGTACTGTATATCTCCGAGATGTCTGAGCGGTCGAAATACGATCGACGCTGCTATGTCGGTTTCCATGACAATGCGAGAATCGGAAACTACGTATTCGCCTTGTGTCAAAGTGGAAAAAACGCTCCATGCAGTCTTGAACAGACCTCCACTTCTCCACATTATGCTTGATTTTGCTGCCTGGAACATGAATTTTCTTACGCCATCAACGCTAATAAGTTAACAGACTAGCCTCCAATGGAGTAGTGATGGATATGTTGTAGGTGGATCCAGGATGAAGATTTCGTAGGACAAATTCGGGAGATTTTCCTACTTCACCGACTCCCATGTTCGTAATCTCCTTATCCACGTTGTCGGGGGAATGCACAGTTTTTGCACGGATCTGGGGAAAACTAATACTTGCCCGAGTTCGTAAAAATTTTCAAGGGTACCTACCGTAAACCGGGATGTTGGCGTGGGCAGCCACTGCGCAGGCCATGTAAGGGTCAACGCATTTGGAGTTTTCAGGCGCTGTTTTAATATGAATCCATCATCGTTGTTGTTAAGCGTAGAGAATACTGCCCAACCCAAAGCACCGTAGCCATAATTGGTGCCAGCCTTAATTTTTTAGTTCATTTTAGCGTTCGAAGAGGGAGATTAACCAATTTACCTGGAGAGTGACGTTATAAATGGACCCGGGCGTTAGTCTTCCGATGGAGTAAGTAGTCATAGGCACCGGAACATTTAGCGAAAATTTCTTAAGGAGGATTCTAGAGGTAGGCAGATACTCGTAGATTGTCAACTGAAATAAATTTCGTGCAAATACTACCACAAAAAAGAAGTTAGGCAAGGATTACCAAATGCTGGTTGATCACAGCGTTATGACCAGTTTCGTGAATCTCTGGTGGTGTCCACGAAACTTCCAGAGAATTGTTGGTTTTATCCAATAGTACGATATCTGTCGGAGCCGGGAGCCAGTGCAGAGCTTAATACATTAATTCTCTCCAGAGTATAATTTTTTGCACTCATATTAATTTATTACGTAGTTGTATTGAGATCACTGCTTATAATAGCAGTCGATGCTATAGGACCACTTGAAGCAGGTAATAATCACTAGTCTGTTTCAGTTTTGGCTAATCAAGCTCACTCACATGCTAAACTTGTCGTAAAAACGTTGCTTGCATACCATAAGGAGATATCTTTCTGAAATGTTAGTCTCGTCTTCTGCAATTCCAATTTCGTCATTTTCATAGAGGCAAACCTCAAATGTTTCCACTGATGCGCGATAAGTCGTGTTTCCTACCAGATTAGAGAACGTGTACGTTCGAAGCTTAGGACCAACATAGACGGAAACGGAAGCTTTACTCTGATAGGAAGCTGAAAGAATACACAAACAATAGTCACATTACGACTGCGAATACCTTTTTTATGCAAGTAAAAATGCTATGATTCATCCTGTTAACGCGGAGATTTTGATGAACTGAGGAAGATGTTCAAATCTAGTCTAATCTGCCCTGATACTGTTTTTATCAGCAAATTCGACACCGTTTATTTCAAATTTTTTTATTTTTTAAATTTTCTTCACTTCGTTTCATGACGTCCATCAATCTCATCATTAGTAAATTTCAACAGCTAATTATCATTTGCTGCTTCTAATTTGAATATGAACGTTTGCATTTTTCTTTATCGTTCAAAGCAATTCAAATAGTTGCCACTCTTCAGATCTTGACCCACTTGTTTGATCCCGATTATATTCACTGCCGTTCTATGACCAACCGGTTATCTGTAGGAGCGTGACGTCAAAGTATGGTCGAAGCCTTTTTGACTCAGTTAAGATTTGCAATACTAGTTCTGCCTATTCCCCATCTCACTAGCCCAGTCAAAACAAAAAACTAGAAAAGGTTTGAATATTAAATTGAATATCAAACTAAATGTAATTAAACATTTGAATGTCATTCAATACCACATTCAGTTAAAAATGTTGATTGTGTTATAGTGTGCTTGCGTAGGCTTCTCTCGAGATTAGTTTAGATGTTTCCACTTCTTTTTTCACCCCTATTTGTGCTAGAAATGCTTCAGTCTCTTAAGCGAGACGAGAAGCATCATGGCCAGCGCGCGCGGCGCGTTTGCGCTGCGGAGGTACCTATAGGAAGCTGGCCGGGACATACAGTATATCAGTGTTTGTGGTAAAGTGATGTTACTCAGTTGTTGCTGGACTGTTATAGTGATAGCGACTACAGCTTTGCGGCTACACATCCGTTGCACGCAACAGCAAATACCAGTATTTATGTTGCAGCTGCAAAGTGGTGTTGTTAGCACTGATAGTGTAGCGACTAAATCTCTACATAACCTTTGCATGCAACAGCAGGTACCACTACTTGTGGCGAAGTGGTGTTGCTCGGCATGACTGCTGCTGAGCCTTCACAGTGATACCGACTACACTCCACTACGGCAGCATGACCTGTGCACGCAACATTAGATACCGTTTGTGGTGCCTACTCTACTTAACTTTTGCATGCAACAGCAAATACCAGTATTTGTGGCGAAGTGGTGTTGCTCGACATGGCTGCTGCTGAGCCTCCACAGTGATACCGACTACACTCCACTACGGCAGCATGACCTGTGCACGCAACATTAGATACCGTTTGTGGTGTGCTACAAAGTGGTGTTGTTCAGCACGACTGCTGCTGAGCCGCTTCAGGGATAGTGTAGCGACTACATCTCCACTCTACATACCTTTGCATGCAACAGCAAACACCAGTGTTTGTGTTGTCCTGCAAACTGGTGTTATTCAGCACTGCTACTGCTGAGCCGCTAAGCTGATAGTGTAGCAACTAAATCTCTACATAACCTTTGCATGCAACAGCAGGTACCACTATTTGTGGCGAAGTGGTGTTGCTCGGCATGACTGCTGCTGAGCCTTCACAGTGACATCGACTACACTCCACTGCGGCAAAATGACCTGTGCACACAACAGCAGATGCCGTTTGTAGTGCCTACTCTACTTAACTTTTGGCAACAGCAAATACCAATATTTATGTTGCAGCTGCAAAGTGGTGTTGTTAGCACTGATAGTGTAGCGACTAAATCTCTACATAACTTTTGCATGCAACAGCAAATACCAGTATTTGTGGCGAAGTGGTGTTGCTCGACATGGCTGCTGCTGAGCCTCCACAGTGACACCGACTACACTCCAGTGCGGCAGCATGACCTGTGCACACAACAGCGGATGCCGTTTGTAGTCCTACTCTACTTAACTTTTGGCAACAGCAAATACCAGTATTTATGTTGCAGCTGCAAAGTGGTGTTGTTAGCACTGATAGTGTAGCGACTAAATCTCTACATAACTTTTGCATGCAACAGCAAATACCAGTATTTGTGGCGAAGTGGTGCTGCTCGACATGGCTGCTGCTGGGCCTCCACAGTGACACCGACTACACTCCAGTGCAGCAACATGACCTGTGCACGCAACAGCAGATACCGTTTGTGGTGCCTACTCTACTTAACTTTTGCATGCAACAGCAATTACCAGTATTTGTGGCGAAGTGGTGTTGCTCGATATGACTGCTGCTGAGCCGCTCCAGTGATAGTGTAGCGACTACATCTCCACTTTGCATACATACCTTTGCATGCAACAGCAGATACCAGTGTTTGTATTGTCCTGCAAACTGGTGTTGTTCAGCACTGCTGTTGCTGAGCCGCTAAGCTGATAGGATAGCGACTACATCTCTACATAATCTTTGCATGCAACAGCAGATACCATTATTTGTGGAAGTGGTGTTGCTCGGCAGGCTGCTGCTGAGATTCCACAGAGATACTGACTACACTCCACTGCGGCAACATGACCTGTGCATGCAACAGCAGATACCGTTTATGATGCCCCTACAAAGTGGTGTTGCTCAGCACTATTGTTGCTGAGCCGCTACTGTTATAGAGTAGCGGTTACACCTCTACTCTACATAACCTTTACACGCAACAGGTAATACCAGTTTTTGTGGCCATGTGGTGTTGTTCAGCACGACTGTTGCTAACCAGGGCCGGACACAGACTTGAAAGTGCCAGTTGAGTTAGTAGTATAATAGTAGTAGTATAGTAGTACACTAACTATAGTAGTATTGTATACTATAGTACTACAGTATACTATAGTACTATTGTATACTATAGTAGTACACTACAGTAGTAAAATATAAACTATATAAAGCTATATAATAGCTATATAATAGCTGTATATATAATATACAATAATATATAAATATAATATAAATATAATATGAGCTATATGCAGTGATATAATAGCTATATAAATACATATATTATAGAATAATTTCTATATATAAAGCAGAAAGTTTGTATGTGCACATTTCTCATAGTCATGAAGGATGAGTGATGAAGCGCATTTTGATCTGTTTGTCATCAAGTCATGGTAAGGAGGGTAGAAGGCGAACTCAAAACAAGTCTGAATCAGAAGAAGGATAAGTTTCGCTACATGAGAGGTCAAGTTCGATGGACTGGTTCCAAACCGGACTGGACCCGAGATGCCAGCTCGTATGTAAATATAATATAAATATAATATGTAAGCTACACGTTTCACTCTGATTCAGATGATATGTAGCTTATCTCAATTTGCACTTTCGAGTCCGCCCTTGGTAAGACCCCACAGTGAAAGCGACTAACAAACGTTCAAATATTTTATGAGCAAACCTTTCGATTTTTGAATGTAGTAATCATCCTATTATTTGAGATTTTCTGCTGAATTCTCCACTTCACCGCTTTCGCCAAGGCGAACACTTCTCTGCCACTTTTAATTTCAGAGATTTTTAATTTCCCGTATTTGTCCTCGATAAAACTCAAATTAGAAACATTTGAATGATTTCCAGCTGAAATTTGCTTATTTACCAATCGGCTTTGAAGATTCAAGATTTTTTCCAGTATTATACAAAAGGTCCACGCCTTGTGGAACTTTCAAAGGCTTTAAATAGCAAAGTCGTACAAAGCGGCTTATCAAGTGAGAAGAGGATATCAGCTTGCTAATTTTCAGAGAATTCAAAGAGGTATTTTGCAAAAGTAAATAACATTTCAAATTGATAAGTGCACTTTCAGTGATTTTGAACTTATTTTTCTAATGTTTCAAAAAGACGAGGGGCTAGTTGATAACAATTACTCATCAATCTTAACATAACAGTAATAGATAGCATGTGATGACAGTTCTGATGTGGTGATTGATTTATGTCTTGGTGGACTGAAGGCAATCAATTTGTTTCTGCGCAATAGGTTTTTGCTCTTTCTCTTTTTTCAAGTCAATATTTCCTAGTTTTGACTATCACCTGCGATACAAATGTCAGAAAGGTTTTTTATTTCAAGATCAAACCTACTTCGCATTGTAGTGATCATCAACCGTTGCTTGGTTGTCTGGTTTGCGAATTCGGGTGGCACTCTCCAGCTGATCGTTGCCTCGTCATTCCGAATGTCTACGATTTCTACTGGATCCGTCTCCAAGACTGGAAAAGTGATAATTTTTTCTTGACAATGCTTGTTGCTAGCGGGACAGATTTGTTCTACTTTTCACATTTGAGACTTATCACAAAAATTGCGGTTGCTATAAACCTGTTTGTATTTCGCTGAAAGGAATCTTGTCGCGTCCTTCGTTTTCATTAACAAAGCCGAAACAGCGCGAAAGATTGATATGAACAGTATTTTATCAAGAGAATGTGTCACAGGGCTGCAAGGTGTCGCGGTTGCGACTTTTTTGAATACTTATAAGGTCAGCGATGGATTGCGAATGCTATTTCGCGAGAGCAAAAAAGAGTAAAGTGAGGCGCTACAAAAATAGTACAGAAGTGACTTTTCGAGCACCTTTCCGGCAGATTTTGGACTGAAACTAATTGCGAGGCTGTGCTGATGTTCATGACGATTTGCTACGTTTTGATATTTATTCTATGGGAATTTCTACGCATATAGTAAAAGAGGGACCATTCCATATACATAGGTATATTCTCAGAGTAGGAAAGAAATTTCGAAGCAAGATATATTTAATGGTGGTCTCAAGAAACACGAAGGCCTTTCCCTTCCATAAACTTCTTCTCTTTTCAAAAATCATAGGTTCGCTCTTTGATGAACATACGACTAACCCAATTCATCACCAACTTGTATTTCGAAAAACTTGGATTACAAAAGTTCATTATAAGTACATGTATTAAATCATCTTGTAGACCATGAGACCCCTATCGCAACTAATTCATGAATGAGTTTTACACACATGGCTGAGAACTACCTTTCCCATATTTTCAAAGAGAGAGCGACATGACTTGTCTTTCGCCGTCAGTTCTTACCACGAGCTAATTTTATGGTAGAGCAGGTGAGTAGTTTGTTAAGTTTATAACTCTGATAAAGTATCTAATCTCTATACATTCAACTCAATTTCTGATATTTTATGAAAGGTCTATGCAAAATCTATCTCTACTTCATTCTAGCTGAAAATTCTGAACTTATTGACTTATGAATCAAGCAGTCGTTAAACTCACTCACAATCAGAAGAACTCGTTACGATATGCGGAATACTGTACAGTAAGATCAATATCAGCATTATCACAGCAAATCAATAAGCGACGACGAACGAGAAAGTTTGTTGAACTGGAGAATGCTTCGCGTGGGCGGGTCTCGCACTCTGCGATGACCGCGGCCAACGCAGGCTTCGCGCGACTGCGAAGACGTAGACGGATTCACACTGGCGCCTGACATGAGGATGTCCAAGGCCATTTTTTGTGCTGATGGGGCACTTTCGGAAATTTTTTTCAAACTGTTATCACTTGAAGCATAATCCTTTTTAGGAGCTGCAAATTTTGGTGCAAAAACAATCTTGTCTGCAAGACACATTTTATTGAGACCTCAGCACTTCCTTTAGGAGCGCGTGTTGTAGAACTCGAGCTCAGCTGCGGCTTTGAAGTGGACAGCTTCTGCATTCAGAGTGAGCAAATAGTTTTTTTCAAATCCAGTGCGAGAAAATGGAGGCGTGAAGAATTATGGAATTGTTATTGCTGCACAGATTTCTTTTTCTGGGGTGTAAATTCAAAACGATTTGACGTCGAAAAAAGTTGAATGCGACTTAGAAAAGCTTAAGCTTTTTTCTACAAAGCCATTTAAAGTACCCTAATTTCACGCGTATAAGGGGCGGGGGATTTTTTTTTTCAAAAATCGATTAGCCCAGACAAACCAAAGGACTTTACAACCAAAGGACTCTATAACGTGCTGTATATTGCTTGTTAGAATTGTGCGATGTAAGGGTTTCTTCCGGAATACAGTGAAGCGGCTGATGTGAGCTGTTCGCTTGAATTCGAAAAGTGCGCCTTATACGCGTGAAATTAGGGTATTAATTGTTAAGATTTAAGAGAGTGCGAAAAAATGAGTTTGAAAATGTTCGAAGACTGCCGGGAACTTTTTTTACGACCTATTATAATAGTCAGTGTGCACTTCAGTTCTATTTCTCTCTAGTTTTTCTTAAAACGCTCTGATCGTTTTGGCTAAAAACCGTTTCCATTTTTCTGTTGACTACCATGTGTGTACTGGCTGCTTTTTTTGCTTTAGCGTGACATACGCTTTATTCTTCACATTAGATCAAAAAACCCATTCATGTATGAAGGTGATACTTTTTTCTCTTGTTTTCGAGTGCAGACGTTTTTGCTGCTTAGTAGGCATTCCTTTGGATCCGTCTGTATCTCACAAATAGAGACTATTTCAACAGAAGCGTGGTCTACAAGGTGAAAGACTTTGAACTTCTGATTTTCTATCCTTATTAGATCTCACGGTGCTCAATCGTTCATTCCAATCAGTTATCCTTCGCTATGTATATTTCGTTTTGCAGTTCTTTGCTGCTTACAGCTTGTTTTGGTTTTCAATAACAATACTTTAGATTCTTCCCTTTAGCGATAGGAGCACCGATTATTTTAGAAACGTATTAATTAGAAACGTTGAAATGGTTATGGGCATGTAGAGTCCTGTCATTCGCTTAAGCAAAGTACAGTGTTCATTCCCTGCAAACAAAAAAAAAAAACAGAATTCTTTTCTTGATTTCACACCTACTAGCTATTTTTCCTTTGCAGAGCAAATATTTGTCCTCGTTGCAAAATGTCGCTGGGAAGCACTGCTCACTGGTTTAAAAGTGTTGATATGAGAGTACTTTATCCTTCATGCAAGCTTGACAAGTAATTGAGACAAGTTTTCCTACTGTATGGCGAATACACTCGAAAATCAAGTCAGATTAGACAAAATGGTTTCATACTTTCATAATCTCATACTTGGGCCGTACATAAGGGCATTAGAGATTTTGCACTGTGACAGTGCTTCACCCTGCATGTGCAGTCTGCAGGGACTTATGTAATCAGTGTCATATGGCGCACTGACTTACCGAGGTTCTTCTATGACTGAAAAACAGTTCGACTGCACAGGCATCTCAAGTGCCTCAAACTTATGTTTTGCTCATTATTCTCAGAGGTTAGATAAATCTGACAAGAGAAGGATACTTGGTGACCGCGCCTTTTGCAGTGATATGCATAGCAGTAGATGCGGTAATAAACACTTACTTTGAATCTATGTTCTTATCTATGTGACTCATGAGAGAAGAGAGACTACTGGAGAAGGGGTCGGGAGACCCGGGAGCACTGAAAAAAGGGTGCGGGAAACCCGGGAGCACTGGAAAAAAGGTGCGGGAGACATGAAAGCATTGGAAAAGGGGTACACAACAGAGGGCTTTTTTAAGTTCGGATAATCTTCCAAAAGCATCCAGTTTTCTTATCCGAATTAAATTAGGAAGCTTAAGGTATCGTTACGACTTCTAGGACTAAAGATACGCATCTCAGCCTATAGCTCGGGCTCCTTGATAAATATCACTTCAAATAAGCTGTGCATTAAACAACAGAGGGCTTTTTCAGTTCGGATAATCTTCCAAAAACATCCAGCTTTCTTATCCGAAGCAAGTATCGTTACGACTCTCAGGACTAAAGATACGCATCTCAGCCTATAGCTCGGGCTCCTTGATAAATATCGATAAATATCTCTTCAAATAAGCTGTGCATTAAACAACAGAGGGCTTTTCCAGTTCTGATAATCTTCCAAAAACATCCAGTTTTATTATGCGAAGCAAATTAGGAAGCTTAAGCATAATTTTAATTTATTTATTAGTTAGCCCTCCTTCCTTACTGAAGAGTTCCGGGGGGGGGGGGCTAATAATAATTCCTTAATTCGAAAATATTAGCTCTAAGAGAGCATCTTTGGGTTCCCCTAGCAACATTACGCTCGCTACAAAAAAAGTAGTGGTCTTGAGCATTATCGGCTCTTATCATGCTTCTTGCAGTATAATCGGATCACGCTAAGGCCGCATAAGCAAAGCACGCAAAAAACAAAGATCAAACCTACAGGCTTCGCAAGGACAAAGACTATAGAACATATTCGTGATTTACATACGGTATAGTTTGCAAAATTGGAGAGCTTATATTTTTGAAGCGTATCCAATTTATTGGATAGAAAAAGACAATAGTAGTACTCCAACTCCAGTTACCACTGCCACTAGCTTCAAAAACTTGTTATAATCAAATATTATGACAAGCGTAGTACATCTCGAAACCATTTTCTCTTCAGCCTTTGATGTGGTAAAAGCAGCAGATTTCTTATGCTGTAACTCCGAACATGCGTAATCGGACTCATTTACGATCCAAGCTATCTTCGCATCCCAATCGTAAACTGTTTGTACTAAAGATAGGAACTCTATTGCTATAAAAAGAGGTTACACGCCCCCATGGGCGATTTCTGTGAAGCAGAAGGTGAGGACAAGGTGGGTGACTATAGACATGTCTCGAAAGCCGCAGCCGAGCACTGAGCACCTCAATGAGTCTAGTTTTGTCCACTTTCGTTTATACTCCCACTTGGCTTGTGGTCTACACCCCTACACCATACCCGGTTCATACCCCTCGCCTTGAGGCACATGCTTGCCTCTTTGCTATTTCTCTTTTTGTGCATCTCATCTAGCCTCATGCACTCACTATTCCAGCAACGAAAAATAAATCTGATTTCTTGAGTTCTAAAAAAACACATTGTCTTCAGTTAAGCTGTTTAATAGCTACACAAAAAATGGCGCTACCCTTACAAAGGACGAGGCTGCTGCGGCATTAGCTGAACTGCCCGAGGAAAACAGACTACTCAAGCACTTTAGCCAAGAATTTGATGAGCAAGCAAAGGAAGGGCACATCACATTACGTTCATAGCTAATGAAAACTATGGTAGTTAAGAAGCTATATGACTTGTTAAAGGATTTGTGCATTTCGTTGATCCAATTGGGCAGAGCCATCCGAGGAAACACAAGAGAGACACTTCGGTGAGCGTTAAATCTATTAGTGATGACTGAACAGAATGCACAACTGCAAGAATGGCAAGGAAACTTCTGCAAGTGATGGTAAACAACTTGAACTCGTTCAGAAGCAACACAAAGCGATCGAGAAGAAAAGCCATGAGAATCCGAAGAGCAGCTACAGCTCCAGCTCTTCCGAGAGCAATACTGAGATTGAAGGCGAAAGAACGCATGAGAAGCACAACTCTAAACTGAAAAGCTTATCCGAAAGCAATCCTGTGCATGACAAAAATCAGCAGGAAACAAATGTGCACAAGCATCACAAACATCACGAGCATCACAGCCATCATGTGAAGGCCCATGATAATGACACTTCTTTCAGCTCGAGCAGTTCGTCAGAAAGCGAGCCTGAGCATCATCTACACCATGGTCACCATGAGCACCACCACAAGGACCATTGCAGGCACCATGAGAAGAAGCACCACAAACATCATTGGCAAAGTGCCCTCATTGATTAAAAAAACGATCATATGTTGACAGGAAATTTGATCAACCATATATCCATGATGCAGAGTTTGTCCAAGGATTTGTATTAAATGCTAATCCGATTTCTGTGATCTTACTGTGATTTGTCGGTTTTTTTTTGTAAAATGTATTGCAATTGTAAGAATTTATCATCAACGTTGTTTTCAGGAGTTCTTACAGAATGCCTTCTGATGACCTATCAAGAAAAACCCGAACGTTAAAGTGTTTCTAATTAATGTGCCATATACAAGCTGAGCTCTTCTTTTTTCTGATGGCAGCAAAGCAGCTAACGGAAAGTGCTCCTTTTAAGACCTTTCCTAAATTTAGAAGCGCGTCGTCTCAGACTTGGTTTCATAGCAATAGACGACTAGCTTAACATCTATTTATTTCTTTCTCTCCTTTTAATTGGAGTTAGCGTTGCGAAAATAACGACTGAACCATGCATTATTGTATGCAAAGATATCCTTTCCCACCACTTTGAGAGTTTCAATGTGAACAAAAATTCGACACAAACAATCAACACATACTGTTGGAAGAAGCGGGATATCGACTTGCTACAATAAGGAAAAAGCTTATACAAAAATGCGGACATTGGAAGGCCTCTATGCAGCAGATACTAGGCACTCAAGGAGGTTCAGGCTTTGAATGACTAATAATAATAAAGAATAATAATAATCATGATCGTAATGTACGGTATGGATTCTATCTTTTCTGGAATGGCGAATAACACAAGACTTATTTCAAATGGTGATGAATGAAGCTGGAATTTTCATGAATTTTCATAGAAATTTAAATGTTTGCAGTTTCAAATGTTTACAGTTACAAAAACAATCGGATCATCCACTTTTAATCAGCCAGATATTGATAACTAAATGTGGCTATAACTAGTAAAACTAAGTTATGCTATCCTTAACATAAGTGGTATCATTATTTAGTCAAAGGAAAATTATGCAGATGATCTAAATGTATACGAAGACGATTTCTTCCCAAAAAAAAACACTCTGTGCAAAATTTCCTAGTTTATCCACCAATAAATAAACTTGCAGCAGTCACTGCATTGCTCATATTTACAGAAGTCAAATTGGACTTTCTGACCTAACAATCAAAAGCAAAGACCACGCTCTTAATCGTCAACCAAACAAAGCGTTACAAAAGTTCAATTTACGCTGGATTTGTCGTGAACTCATCATCAAATCTGAAATCATATGGTGTGTTTACGTAAAAGTTGTAGTACACCAAGACAACAGCAACGAAATATATGGGAAGAGCAATCCTCGAGAACTGATCTACAGCGCTGATAGAATTTTGCGCCAGACCGAAAGGATCTGTGCGGCGACCCTAAAAAAGTCCTTTTGATCATGTTCAATGAAGAAATCGTTGGTTTCTTACGTTATTCACCATCCAGTAATATAATCGCCATCCGACACTATCTCTGAAAAAATACGAGATTTCTAGCCATCTACGCTTCTGGTTGAAGTATCAATTACTGCTGGAATTCCTCGATCGTTTGTAGATGCCCTTCTTCATAAGACGAGACGGACTGCTTTTGACACAAATGTTGTTTTCTCAGTGAAATCTTCCGCACTCGATGATACATTGAATGTCGTCCGCCATCACTTCGCGTCTGATGTGCTTATTCTAACGATCACATACAAACTTGGTTGCTTTGATGCTATTAGTATGTGGTCAAAAAAATGATTGCGTTACTAAGCCTCTCTATGCGGATGGTGTAAATTTCCGAGCTTTTTGCTTTATCGTCACTTATGGTCACAACAATTATAATACTAACCATTCCTGTTTGCGGTCGAAGATGATCGATATGGAATTTTCTCGGTGGTCGACGATTGCTGTAAACATTGGTGTCAACTGAAAAATTACTTTAAGAACAAAAAGGGGGCAGTTCACCTGAGTACAGCCGTTCTAGGAATTCTTCTAATTATTCGCCGCATTCGCTCCCTCTCAGCCGCTTGTATCTCTGGATCTCCGGTGTTGAACTTAGTGAAGTAATGAACTACAGTAAATTCAACCATGCATATCAAAAGTGTTGTGTAACAGATCCAGATGTAGATGTCCAAAGCGGTTGGGAAGTTCACCTATGACATAGAAAGTTCAATTTTCTAGTGCAGTGCTACAAAACGCGAACTACGACTTTAAGTTCAAATAAATTATGAAACGTCAATAGACTGCAAATTTTGTAGGCTAAGAAGCGAGCTGTACAGTGGACAGCTCACCTTAGGAGCATCTGATTTGCTGTCATTGGAAATCAGCACCATGGTAAGAACAGAAGTGATCCCTGCAAAAATTGGCTGTTAAAAAATTATTGACATTCAATCTGAACAATTTACCCATTCCTATACGATCTCCGGTAGCTTCGCGATTCGTCCAAAGGGCTACCCAACAGAGAAGTACAATCAACGTGCATGGTACATAGAAGTTGATAAGAAAGTATCCGAAATGCCTTTCGAAGTAGAACCTGACTTCTAGAGCTGAATAGTTGCCTAAACTTGCTTCAGCTTTGGAAAGCTTCAGAAGACTCTTAGGAAGCTTTGCATGAGCAAATTCTAAAATTTTCTTACGATCACGTGTCATATTCGTTGAGTTGAACACTTGGAATCCCGTCATTGTGAACTGGGCAAGCTCCTTGATTTCATCGTAGTCCATCTATGAAAAGACAATTATTGTTCCGTTCTTAAGAAAATTGTAGATATGAACTACTTGAACTCCTCTATCCAATCCCACCACTCTCCAGTCGTACAGCAGTTCATCTTCTCCGTATGCATAGGATCCTATCACAAGTCGACATGCCTGAAGGGGCAGTTCTTGGTCCCAAGGTGAATCACTTTCAAGAAAATGTGTGAAGAAAAGCGTGAGATCTCTAAAAGATTTCTTTACCTGACGATCAAGTGGATATCTCCTCATTGACATTGCACACTTGCCTGAAGAGTAAATATATCGGTTTTGCTGAGATGGGAGGACGAAAAAGTGCGGGTGCATCAGCAAAACTGATCGTAGCAAAATCAGAGTGAGAATTTTTCAAAGTCTATTGACCCACACAGTCCCATCCCACCGTTTACCAAACATGACTACATAATCAAGCAGTCACTATATAACCCTGACCTTTGATGGTAAGCCTACTACTGAACAGGACAGTCCCATCCGGATATAATCTCACCAACCGGTTACTAGTCGTCATGGTGTGCGTGTACGACCGAGCACCATTCCAAAAATACTGAAACCTCTGATAGACACAAATAACCATCTCCATCATTCCATCACCGTATCAGGCTTCCAAATCTTATCAAGCATCGCCATGCTCAACGATAGAGATTGCTTGGATCGTGTTCCATTGAATTTTAATCTAGCGTCAGTCCACATTTGTCGAAAATAGCAGTTAAAAGAATATGTCTTAAAAATCTTTTGCTGTTGATAGGAACATCCTCAAAAAAATGGTAATATTTCTCACATCCGTTAGGTCAGATATTGGGCCCATGGTGCGGACGTTGATGTCTATGAATACCGTGGTTTTTTCCACTAAACCATATCTCATTGTAAACTTTTACTCTGAATAGCTTGCTTTCTAGAAGTAGACAACTTACTGTTAAAGCCAGGTCTGAGATGTTGGTCATATCCCTCCAATACCTGGTTCAATAGAAATGTCACATTTTCAGCAACTCCATTCCGAGACGATGTGCTGCTTGAAAAGGATGCAAGGTTGAAAATGTCGATCAAGTCAGAATAAACAAAGAACAACAACATTTTTTGCACAGCAAAATACTGGGTCGGTGCAAAAGTTTTGTCAGTTCTTGAAATGATCCTCAAATCCCGTACAGTGGACATAAACAAACACCAAGTTGTATTTGATCCAAAACTTCTTCCTCTTTCCAGCTGCTATATATCCTGTGTGATTTATTGAAAGAATGCTGAGATAATTGCTGAAAATTACAACTTTTTCACTATGTCCAACTTTCGCTAATTTTCAGAGTTTTTGCATGAAACTTTTGGAGGACTTCAAAATTCAGCAGATAGAAAAGACCTTGAAGTGAACAAATATTACATTCCGCTTATTCTCACCTCATAGAACATAGAATGGCAAGCAGTTCAGGTACCATTCGATGCATCTTTCTCTCCTCTTTCTAACAGTTGTCTTTTCCTGGCGAGATTCGATATTGCGCGGTCGCAGTTTCGCTATTCGACGAGTGCGCACTGATAAATAAGTTATAAAATCTTCATATTTTGACGCTAAAGTTGCTGATTTACTTTGTAAGGTCAGTAGTAGTCATATGAGAGTTTTGAAACCTCAATTCTGAAGATTTTGCGGTGTTTGGTGCAATAATAGGTCATGCGATTATTCCAAAACTCAAGGCTTTTTAAAAACTTATTTGGAAAATCTCAAAAAAGTAGCTGAAAGTGAAAAAATTGCTTTGGTTGACAAAAGGTTTGCCCTACCTGCTGTTTATTAACAAAAAGTTCTCCCAAAAGTTTCAGACAGAATTTTTGAAAATTAGCGGAATCTGGACATGGTGAAAACGAAGGGTTGTAAATTCCAGCGTATCTCAGCACTCTCTCAACGATTCACATTGGCAATAAAGCGGCTGGAAAGAGGACGAAATTCTGCATCGGTACAGCTTGAGATGTTTGTTTATCCTCACTATACGGGATTTGCAGGTCATTTTAAATAACTGACAGTCCTTTTGCACCGAACTAATAATTATTATACATGAAGGGTGCAAGCTGCAAATCCAGTAAAAAAAATGTTGCGTTAACACTTTCAAAATTTACCTCTCATTTTTGACTGAGCTTTGCGATTTTTTAGCGCTCGAAAATCGGACGCTTTCAATCTTCAACGAATTGGCAGACGTGAAGGTAATGAAGAAAAGCAACATTACCAGCATCCTTTTCATAACCTGGAAGCCGAATGTTTTCGAGATATCATGTGAGAAGTTAGCGAGTGGAAGCGAAAAAAACTAAGCTTTCAGTCAAAGGCTAGCGCTGCTGAAATCCGCATAACAAGTGGGTCGAAGCGTTGAAAGACGTGAGGAGTGAGAATAATGATAGGCTAACCTCTAGGGGCCACCCTCCACTCTGAGGCACAATGGAAGCCCATATCAAAATCATGGTTGCCGGCTTATTATCGAGATTCATTGCGATTGAAGTGCATAGATTTTTGCACTAACAATAAGTAAAAGCATCTTTATTCTTACAAAGATAAGAGGACTTGAAGAGGTATCCCCTGCAAGAATCCCCAAAAATCATAGAAGACCGAGAATCACTCGTAGGATTGAATACGGGCTTGTTTATGTTGAAAAACTTTGCCAAGGTATCTATATTTTCTGAAAATCTCCGGTAATCTGGTGCACCACAAAAGGGAAGCGCCCCTTGCGCAAACTTGGAGAGTTGTTCTTATTTATGAACTGGTCTCAGTAAAACTAAAGTAGTGGATTGTATAACAGTGTTCCGCAAAAACAAGAGAACCATTTTAGCTATTTCCTCATAAAAAAAGCACGTTACATGCAAATATAACGATAATATAACGTCTAACTTTTCAAGACTACTACAATATATGATTTCTTTTTGAGAATTGTGGACCGAAATTTCTCAAAGAGCAATTAAGCAGAGTCGAAATCATCCAGCTAGTATTTTGGAATAAAAATCAGAGATGTGATGAGTGCAAAAAACGTAATTGGGTTCTATCGAGATTTTTTGGATGAAAAAAGATAACTTATACCTCCCTGCTTTTTTGCGCCTTTGTTCCAGCAGCAAATCAGTTCTGCGATAGTAATGTATTCATAATGATTGCTGCTGCCTTGCTAACAATGTAGTTTCGACCGAAAAGTTTTTGAAGATATCGGAAACAATTTTAGATCAATGATCTCTATTCCAGAGACTTGTTCAATGTTAGACATGATATGAAACGGTGACCACCAGATCCGGTCAATCCTTTCCCTCCACCGTCTATCTTCCATCTTCCCTTTGCTTCAGGCTGGGAAATTTTGCATATGAAGTTTCGGAACCGTTGGTTAACATTTTTCATGCAACTGCTTTTTATTAGGTCATTCGGAAAGTTTTTTCGTTTTCGCACCTTTAAATTCAAACAAGCACAACTTTTTCTGGATCCAACCTTTTTCTTCCTAATAAATTTCATTGTGTTCAGCAGAATTCTGGTAACATTGTAGTGTTCATGTGCTTTTTTCTTGCGAAATCATCTTAGGGGAATCCATAAAACCTAAAAAGGCATTTTTGACAAGCTAATTTTTATTGGGTCCTATTATTTTTCAATAGGCACCGAGGAATTGGAGAATTTGGTGGCTGGTAAAGGAAGGTCCATAGAGTTCGAAAAATAAACGGGAACCTCGATGCGCAATCAACCCCTTTTGTAAAGGCCACTTTTCTTACATGTGGTTTGACGGCGTCATGGGCGAGGATGACACCTTTCATAGAATATACGTGCAAGTCTGCTCAGTTCTGAGATTTTGACAAACGGTTTTTAGAGCAACATCATACTACTCTGCTCTTACACCACAACCACATCTTAGCAAATTTATAGCGTGCAAGACTAGCAGCATTACATTAATTTGAGTACATCTATCTTTTGTAATGACTTACTCTTCAAGGCCATGCTTGCAATGCTTGTTCCAAATGATTTACCTCACTGTTGCTTATTTTAGCTGTACTAGGCCAATTTTTTGTTGTAATTATCAATCCAGGCCAAAAAAGAATTGCTCCGTCAAATCATGAGAAACGAAAGCAGAGTCAACGCGCCCACAATCGCCCCAAATAGCTTTCATTCTCTAGATCTGGACTTTCTGAAGCAGATCCCAACCAACGTCAAGAAAGACGTGGCCTTAGCAAATGCATTGCGCACAATGATGGCTTCTTTGACTGCCTTACACTCAAGACTGAGCTCAAAGAGTTATTCGAAAATCGCGCTTTCATATGTCGGATTTATAGCCACGTAAAACCTACAAAGCGTTTTTTGCAACTTCGGTGAGATTCTCAGAAACTAGAAGAACTCTTTCTACAATCTTATATATAAAGCTGAATGTCTGTTTGTATGTCTGTCTGTCTGTATGTTTGTGTGTACGTATGTTCCGAATAGAAAATTCCAGTTTTGAACCGATCCGGACCAAACTTGGCACACATACACTTCGGGCCCCGGCGGGTGTCTAGGCTACTTTTCGTATCGATCGATATCGATTTTATCGATTTTTTGCAAAATTTAAGCTACGGGGCTGGGAGTTGGCACAGGGGGGTAATCGAGCATGCTGATTACGAATATAATAATGACAGGGCCGGGCGGAGCCGGGTAAGTCAACTAGTTTCATATATAGCAACCCCTATCAGCCCTCTGGCACTCTCTTAAAACATGGCACCAACATCAAAGGCGCAAAAAGCGAAAAAACTTTCCGAATGACCTAATATTTTGAAAAATTGGACTAACTGAAGATTAGGAGATATGTCTTGAGCTGTCGCCATCTTCCCGAGTGTAGTTTGCAGATGTGAATAGTACTAGGCTGTCTCATGGATTCTTAGCATTTTGCCTTTCTTCTTCTATAAGTCACATCTTCCTGCTTTCTGAATGGGTTCTGCAATTTCGAGAAGGCAAAGCAAGCTCTATAAGATGGAACTTGCACATTCGCACAAAGTTTGTTCTAATTAAAATCAGAAGCCAAAATCTGAAAAGATCTCACTGCTCGAGTAATCGAGAAAAATGAAATCTCCATTCAGAAAAATTCAATGGACTTCCTAATTACTGACAAGGAGAGGATACTTAATCGAAAGCAGCAATCCAGATGAGACATATATCATCTTAAAGCGCTTGAAACGCTGATTCCAAATCTGCAGTTTCTAGCTGCGGAGCGGTTTTGTAGAAGGAGTTATGAAGGGTGTTCCCCTCTGGGGTTTAGGCGCCCTCCAGCGGTCTCCCCTTATCTGTAAGCACTGTAGAGGGGTATCAGCTGATGGCAACTAACCAAATAGTAAGTAACTTGAATGAAGATTACAGTAAAGATTATAGTACTCATATTACTTTTATTATCAAAAGTTTTATGATTTAGGGCTTTAAAGCCATTTGGAAGTTTAATTTAGCATGCGAAGGGGATTAAAAGCTTGACACTCTCTTTATCAAGCACGTCACTTACCACTAGGCCAGTTGCCACCAGTTGGTACTCCTCTACAGTGCTCATAGGTAGGGGA